TGGGTGGTTATCAGGCGCGTTGCCGCGCTGGGGTAGCGCCTTGTCAAGTCTTCGAGGCGCGTTATCTTGCGGGTCTCCCCGCCTCTGCTTCAAGTGCTGCGCTTTGGGCTCATTGCCGAGCAGTTGGTAATAGCGTAGTGCTGGAACGTATATGGTATCAATGTTGTTGTCTAGACGTCGTACCTCTCGTGTTGCTTCTTGCTCTTGAATTGATCCTCTTAAATGTAGTTGGAAAGGTGGCGCAGGGTGGTAGCTGGTCACGAAGATCGTGCCAGATAGCGTGAGGATAAGAAGAGCAAGAGCTGACAACACGAGAGTGCGGCCAGCTCCGCTACCAAGTCTGAAAGGACTGTGGTAAGTCAAATAGCATCCGATCCCATGGGAAGCGGATGGCAGATAGCGTCCGACGCCGTACTGAGGTGGTCCCCAGTAAGGGGAATGGACGGATAAGATAGGATAAGATCGATGTAGTGATCTTTCCAGCACATAGCGAACACTCGCAGTGTCCAGGCAAATAGGGCGCGCGTGCCTTGAGCCAAAGGCAACGGCGCGCGAGCTATACTCCCGATCCTATATAACATCTCCCAAAGAGCTACCCTTAAAGTCAAGAGGGCCCCAAGGGGCAAAAATAATAGATCCCCCTCGGTTTTGAAAGATTTCGGCATTCTCAGCTTCCCGGCGCTCCAAGACAGGCCAAGAGGCCCCCAATACCGCCCCAGGATGGCCCAAGAGGCCGCCACCCCAAGACCGCCCAAGAGGCCTCCAAGGCAGCCGAAGAGGCCCCCAAGACTGCTCCAAGAGGGAGCCCAGACGGGGGACCCGAACGTTTCGAGCCCACGGCCTGAGAAGCTCCCAGGAAGCGCCCAGAGGCCCATAAGAAGCCACCCAAGAGGCTCCAAGAGGCCCCCAACAGACCCCCGGGAAGCCCCAAGAGGCCAACAAACGGCCCCCAAGAGCCTGACAAGAGGACCCCAAACTACCGCCAAGAGGCCCCCGAGAGCGCTCGTCGTCGTCGTCGTCGTCATCGTCCTCGTCGTCGTCGCCATTCAGGGTCGGCGGCACTGGCCGTAAGGTCTTCACAATAAGGAGAACCATCATGAACCAGTCGCGACCCCAATTAGGCGTCTCCTTCAAAACAATGCTTAGCATTGCTTGGCATTGCTTGGCATTGCTTGGCGTTGCTTGGCATTGGTTTACTTTGGGTTGTCTTGCTTTGCATTGCTTGACATTGCTTGGAACTGATGCCCATTGCTTGGCATTGCTTGGCATTGCGTGGCGCTGGTTGGTGATGCTTGGCATTAACTGGCACTGCTGAAAAACGCAAGTGGGGGGCCCGAGGAACCCGGACGAAAAGAACCTTAGCGGCGAACCCTGAGGAACCCAAGCGAGGAACCCGCAGAACCCCGAGGATTCCAGGCAAGAAACCCCGATGAACCCGAGCCGACGCCCAGAAAGGAGCCCGAGGCCTAAGAGCCGACCAACGCTGGGCGACGCCTCTGACAAAAAGTGCCGCCGCACCCACCAGACTCTCCACAAGACGCCTCCCGATCCCAGCGCCGCCAGAGCTACCCTGACTACCTACCAGACCACCCCGATCTAACCCAAAGACCCAAGTTCGGGTTGGGGAGGGGTACGGGTGCCACATGTGTTTTTCAATGTTTCCCGACCCCCCCACAACTGGACATCGAGGGTCGATTTGAGCCTTCGGATTGAGTTGAGGTGGTTTGGTGGGTGGTGATACCCGCAGAGCTCTGCGCAAGAAAGCGTGGTGACGCGTCAGCCGCTACGCCGTCCATGGCGGAGCGGTGGCTTCCACACAAGGCATCCTGCCTCATGACAGAGGACCGAACCTTGCGTGCCGTAGTTGCCGTTTGCTGGGGTTCCACGAGTCCCTGCTACCAACCCTCCCCTGGCCCTTTTCCACTAGCCATCGCCCTGGTTTGGGACAACCCTCACTACCCCCTGTAACTAACCCCCAAAACCGTTGGCACTACCCCCCGCCCTGGTTTGCCAGGAATTCCGCCCGGGGCTAATCACCGTTAGGCCCCTCCACGAGCTCCTACTAATCCGTGATCCGCCAAAACGCTGGGCAATGGCTAGTGTGCGTCCAACCGCTGTCTTGCTCAATTGGTATCGGCCCATGCGAAACAATGATGAAAACGCCCTGGGTGCATCGAACTCAACATGCAAGCACTTCTTACTTCAAAGCAACGCGTGTCGTCCGCTTTCCAAACAATATGCCCGAAAGGAAAAACCTATGTATGCGTTTGTTTGATCATGCGCGCTTGCCCCTTAGAGGGCATATGTGTATCTGGCAACGCATGAAAGTGATGACGCATTTTGGGTTACATCATGTGCGATTGGCAAGCGTTCCTGTGCACTGTGGGGTGTACAATCTCGGAGCATGGGGGATGAACTCGCAGAGGAACGGAGACCCCCAACCGGGAAATCGTTTCGTTCCGTTCGTGTCGTGCGTGCGGGCGAGGCGAAGCTGCGTGGGCGCGCGAGAGGATCTTTAACCCGCGGTCTGGGTGAGCGTGCAAGGGGTGGCGTGGGGGAACGCGATGCCTGGGGTTATCCTGCAAGCCCCCTGTGTTCGGTTTCTGTTCGCACGTGATGCTACGGCAACCTTAACACAAAACCATCATCTTCATTGTTACTTTGTACAAAAGCATCAACTCATCATCGCAGGCACCATCGCCATCATTACAGCCACCACAAACACATTCCGCAGCCGTTTGTGGGTTCGAGCAGATTCGAGTAACGACGTCATGAGTGGCGTCGGCAAGGGGCGCTTGGGTCTCGGCATCTCAAAGAACGGCCAGGCAAACATGTTAGGCCAGAAAACCATCGACACTATGTTCACGCCTGGTGATCAGGCTTCGGGGCCCGTGCACGGCGGAGCTGACATCCCATTTCAGGTGCATCCGGATGACCACCACGTGTATGGCGAGCTTCCTGTGCGCGTGGACGACGGGGTCCCCATCGCGAAGTCGAACTTCTACCTCGGCGCCTCCTACTACCATAAGAACGCGCTGCCGCTGAAGGTTCGCCGTTCGCTCGTGGAGTCAGCGGCGCCAGACCTGTTCCCGATGCACCGCACCCGCCAGCTGAAGGAGAAGACCGTTGATGCGATCATCTACGTGGCGACGAACCTCGATCCTGATACGAAGATTAGCCATTTCGGCAAACACTTGACGAGGGGGGCCCTGCGCGAGGCCGTCCACAAGCAGTCCAAGATGGTGCTCCACTGCGAGCCGCGCCGCCAAACGCACTTGCGCAACCACCTTGTGGAGTTCATCGCCGAGGACGTCGCTACCGACTACGGTTACATGAGCTGCTTCCTCACGAAGATCGAGCTGCCGCCGCTCGTTCCGAAAGTTCCCCAGGGCCCCGACGAGAGCGGCGAGTCCGCCATGGGTGGCGACAGCGGCAGCAGCAGCGATTGAGCGAGCCCGCAGCCTTGGCCGACCGATAGGCGCAATGTCTGATGAGCTCTAGCTTCGGTGATCACGAGGTCAGTTGTTCATGGGGTCAATTGTTCATGGTGTAAGTTTTGTTCATGGGGTCAGTTGTTCATGATGTCAGTTGTTCGTAGTGTCACCTGTTCATGGGGTGAGGTCAGTTGTTCATGAGGTCAGATGTTCATGAGGTTAGCTGTTCATGAGGTCAATTGTTCATGAGGTCAATTGGTCATGAGGTCAGTTGTGCATGGTGCCACCAGTTCCTCATGAGGTCAGTTGTCACGAGCAGTTCGTCAGAGATTATGCAGCTGTTGCCTGCGCGCTTTAGTTAGCCAGCTTGGAGCCGAGTTCGGCCGTGTCCCGCCAGGCATGATTATTTGGCGTGCTTGAGTGTTCCAGAAATCGTGGTGGGATTGACGTCGCATTCCTTGGGCCGACGTCGTCGTGGCTCCGCCAACCGCCGCCGTGGCCCCACTGGTTCTCTCGGGTAGGGACTGCAGCAGTCTCGCCGCGGTGCACCCCATGCATTTGCGCTCGGGATGGGCCCAAAATCGCGGCGAGGGGACGACGACGACGATGATGATGATGATGGTGATGATGATGACGACGATGACGATGACGATGACGATGACGATGACGATGATGATGATGATGATGATGATGATGATGATGATGATGATGATGATGATGATGATGATGACGACGACGATGATGACGACGACGACGAGGGGCGAGCGCAAACGCAATCCCGAGTGGACACAGAGAGCTGGGGATAATTTAGAAGAGCAGGAGGGGTCGATGACGACGACGACGACGAAAGACTAGGTTACCATTTGTCTTCCCTCCCTCCGTTACCAATTGCCCAGCCCCTCCCTCCGTTTGGGCGTCGGCCCGACTGCGCTCGCTGCAGTTGCAGCCTTGCCCCATGGTGGGCCCAATGCGGCCCCAGAGGGCCGCTAAGAGGGGGCCAGGAGGGCCCCGAGCGGGGGGGCCAGGAGGGCCCCAAGAGGGCCCCCCAAAATACAAAACAGCACAAGAGGGGCTTCGACATGTAACCCCTCTTGTGTTGTTTGTGCTTGTTTCTTTTGCCTTATTGGAGCATTATTGGGGCTATATTGGGGCCCTCTTGGAGCCTTCTTGGGGCCCTGTGGGAGCCTCTGGTCGGGCGCGCCGTCGCGCTTCGGCACGCCGAGCACTCTAGGGCACAGCAGGCACAGTTTGGCAAAGCATAGTGCACAGTAGACACACCGGACACGGGGGGGGGCGCCATGCACGCCCAGGCGCACAGAGCCAAACCAAGTCGGCGAACCCCGCTTCAACACCATTGTCACAATCCGTAAGCATCTTGGCTCAAGCATCGGGCATCAGGCATACACGATTCAGTGCCGCTCAACAGCCAGCCAACGATATGGCCAGCCAGAGCTCACAAGCCTGCTGCTTCGTTTGGCCATGCAGCAGATGGGCCAGGCCGCGCCCGCCGCGCCGCCTCCTCCAGCGCAGCTGCAGCAGCCCCAGGTTGACCTTGCGCAGTTGACGATGGTGCTGTCAGCGCAGCAGGGTGCGCAGGCCCAGCCCGCGCTGGCGAGGGCGGCGCCGCAGACGGCCCCGGCCGTTGACCAACACGCACCGCAGCAGGCCGTGTTGGGCAAGTCGGTTGCGACGATGGCCAACCCCGACGAGAGTGCCCACTGCAAGCTCATCTTCGGAGACGGGTCGCAGCGGATCTCCACGTTCTACCGCTACCTCGGGGCGGCATGGAAGTTCGATTGCGCGGATCGTCCTTCCTCGCAAGCTGAAGGTCCAGTCGTTGCAGGGCTACGACAACAAGCGTTTCTCACCCATCTTGCTCAGCAGCCTCGACGACGACGCCGTGGACGAGCTGGTGTACATCGCCAGCAATCTAGGGCCCGAGACGCGGATCAAGGACTTCACGGCCAAGTCCAAGGGAGAGATGAGGGAGGCAATTGCAGCAGAGATCAGCAGGGTCCTCACCGCCTACCCGACGCGCCTGAACGACCTCAGCGCCGACCTCACCAACACGGACATCTTGGCAAAACGCTTGGGCTACCCAGTCGAGTGCATGCCAGTCTCTCGTAGGGGAGCCGCTGTCGTGGATGTCGGGGCCCAGCAGCGGGCCGCCAGGATTCCGTCCATCGCCGCCCCGAGCATGTCGGACTTCCTGACAGCTGGCAAATCGAAGGCCACGCCGAAGGCGGCCGACCCGTCAGCCAAGTTCACATCCCAGGAGGAGTTCGAGCAGGGGTTGTCCGGCGATGAGGACGACCAGAAGCCAGCGGCCCAGGACACGAGTGCGTCCGCCAGCGTCGGCCCCGCCGCCAGCCTGGCCAGCGGGTCATCAGGCGCGGGGGCAGAGGCTGCGCCTTCGGTCTTCGCGCCGTTCCAGGGCAAGGGCCTCAAGCTCACGGCTGATGGCAAGCTGGAGATGTCACCAGGTTTGCTCGAGGCTTTTGTTCAGATGTCTCATGCAAAGCCACCTGCGCCCGCTGTTTCAGAGCCCAGCGCGCCCGCAGGCATGCCCGAAGGCCCGCCCGAGAAGAAGGCCAAGGCGGACGAGACCAAGAGTGAGTGAGTCAGCTGTTGCATGTTGAGCGGTCCTCTGAAGGGCCAACGGCAGCGCCTCCGCGGCGAACATAGTCAGTCGCATCGCCCAGTTTTTGTCAGACGCAGGCTGGTTAGTAACATCGCATAGCAGTAACAAGCACTTAGGAGCATTCGCAACGACATCATAACATAACACGTCCTCTCTGATCGGCCAGGAGCCTCAAAGTTGAGTTTGCAGCTGCGTCCCGCTGGCCCGAAGTGGGCGCCAGGGTTGCCAATCACTTGGTTGGTCGCGCCCAGTGCTGTCGGGCGGAGTAGGCGGGCAGCAGCCGCGCCCACGCGTTCAAGGGCATGCGTGACTGCAGCGCTCCAGGGTGCGCATACTCTGCCAGCGACCCCTCTGAGGACGACGCCGAAGGGGGGAGGCGGATGATGGGGGCCTGAAAGATGCACCCGAGGTCGAGGAGGGCGGGCACTCGGGGGGGCTGGAGGGATCCCACCAGGGAACCTGAATGATTTGAAAGCCATCTTGACAGAATGGAAAACCTTGGACTTCATTTTTTTTTTCAAGTGCTGCGGGCCGCCCCCTCCTCGACCTCGGCTGGGTTGTTTCGTTCCGACTCTGCTCCACGCGTCCGCTGTGGCGCAGGCGGCGCTCGCTTGGCCAGGGCATGTAGCCATCAGTTCACTTGCCTTGAAGATTCGAATGCCAGCGCAGTCTAACGAGATACCCCTCGCCCAGTGCTAATCGTTCTCGCACTTTGTTGTTCAGGCCCTCTTGTAGCCCTCAAGGCCTGGGGCCCCGATCGTGGCCTCTCCATGGCCATGTTAAGGCAGGCGTGGGGTATATGTTCTGTGTGGCTTAACTTCGTTTCGGTAATGCTTTATTCGGGGCGCTCCTGGGCCCTGGGGCCCTCTGGAAGCCCTTTCGCGACCTTTCGGGAGCTCGGCGTCTACTGCCCCATCCCCTCCTCCCCTCTCACCTCATCCTCCCCTCTTCGTCGCTCCACTCATTCTCGCCCCCGCCCCGACCGCAGCCATTTTGGCTCGAACGATTGGGCTAGCTGGAGTTCGCCCGCCCATGCTGGACGCCAGCAGGCACGATGCCATCGACTGGCAACGATGGGCGATCCGCTTGCAAGGCACGGGCGGACACGGCCGCCCACGTCCTTGACATGGGACAGGACAGCGGAGGCCACCGTGAACATCAAGAGGCTGACGAGAGAGGGCTATGCGGTCGCCGAGGCCTCGGGCAGTCATTGCACTGGCTCCAAGACCGTTGGCAGGTCGAGCTCGGCACCAAGACCTACGGCGATTGCCACAAGTCCGAGAGGCGCAGGGGGGTGTTTGAGAACCTTAGGGGCGCACACCGTCTGGACGCTGGTCCGTTTGACCTCGGCGGCAGCGGCGGCGTCTCCAGCGTCTCGCTGAGGGCGGACTTGATGCTGCCATGGTTGTTGTATAAATTCGTTCGCTCTGCCGATCACCACGGGCGTTCGCCCCTTACGAGGGCCGTCGGGGCGTGGTTGCAGATCTCAGTTGATGGCTTGAGCCGCGCCCCACTGGCTGACGCGTTGACTGTGGATGCCCACTTCGAGGGCATATTGGTGCCTGATCGTTTGACGCTGGACCATGTTATTGGAGTTGTCCGCGGCTGGGGAGAGGTCGTTGCCGCTAGCCCACGCATTGCCAGGGGCTGGTCTGCATTCTTGGCAGGCGCAGGCAAGCTCAGCAATCTTCGCGTGCCTGGGGAGTCAAATTCTGTAACATCAGTTGTGCTGTACCTGTTGTCGGATTTGCCCTCGCGCGTTGGCGAGGCCAGGCAGACATTTCGCCCTGGTGCTCAGGCGTTGCTGTCATTCCTCTGCAAGGCGCTTGCCATCGGCATGGAAGCTTACATCCTGCACCACCACATCCCCGTGCAGGATCCTGGGATGCGGGGCCGACTGGAGGAGCTGAGGTGCGCGGAGCGCCGCTGGCGCCTCGATCCCCAGGCAATCGCCGCCGCCATGCGGCGGGCGAGGGAGGTCGCTGGCTCGTCCAACCAGACGGTGACGGCGGTGATCGGGTCGAAGGACCTTGACGACAGGATCAGCTACGCGATGTCGAGGATGCACAGGGACATGATGAAGAATTCGTTCAAGCACGCGGCCACTTTGGCCATGACTTGGGACCCAGGCGGGTACTCCAGGCGCTCTTACAACATCGGCCTGGTCGCCCACACCGCGGTCGCCGCTGGCGACACCGTCGCGGGGGGCATGTGCCCGAAGGCCTTGACCCCAGGGGGTCGCCCCCCTTCCTGCGTCACAGGGGGGCGCGGGCTCCCCAGCGGGGAACCTTCTCAAAGACACGGGGGGAGATCGGGTTTAGGTGTCCTGGGGGGCCTGGGAATTACGGATTCTGCGTAGGGGTGTTTCTGAAAACCTTGATGTAAAATCTCCGAAGACTGATGTAAAAATCTGCCCTGGATTTTGTATCCGGATTTTCTTTGATGTGAGGTAGCCTTTAGGCCACCTAACCGCGATCTCCCCCCAGCTTCCCCCTGCGGGGGCAGGCAGCCTTGGGTCGGCCCCGAGGGGGCCTAACCTCAGCTTCGCCCACTGGGGGGCAGGTCGACCAACCTGGCCTTCCAGGATGGGTGCTTCTGATTTCCAGCCAGCAGGTGGCACCCTTTGGGGGGGGGGGGGGGCGGGGCGGTGCCCAAGGCCCATCTCGCGCGCGATTGTCGCAGATTTTGCTTTCAAGGCGACCCGCAAGAAGGTCGACTTGCAGTACTTAGCTGACGACCCCGAGCTGTCCGAGGCGTGGGCCTCGGACAAGCTGGACAGGGAGGCTGCGTTTTTAAACGTGTGCGTTGTCCTCGCGGAGCTCGTTCAGATCACTGGTAGACAACTTGCTGACTTCTGCGCCCCATCCAATATGAACTTGCGGCCAGTTCAGAACGGTGAGAAGCGACTCTTACTAGACGGAGCGCAGTTTCTTTTCAACGAACAGGAGGCGACAGCTGCAGTGGAGATACCGCCGCATTTATGTACATACCCTTTTGTGATTGTCACTCACACGACCGATCGGAGCTCGATCAACTCATCGTTGTTGCATTTCCTCACTGCCGAGAAGTATGTGTTCGTTCCCTAGTTTGACCCGATGCATGCTCTGTGGAATGCTCTCATGAACAGTGCTAAGCGCGTAGGGCCATGGTCGGGGAGAAAGAAAGGCTACATGTGGAAGAGGGTGCTTGAGTTCGCCACGATTTGCAACACGAGGTCTGGGCCGTATCGTTCAGGACAGTGGTTCGATCTCAAGAAAGAGAGACTCGAGTCAGAAAGCTGAGGATGGGGGCCAGCGACCCCCTGAGGACGAGGAGGGGGGGGGCGCATGATGGGGCCAGAACGATTCACCCGAGGTCGATGAGGGCGGGCGGGCGGGGGGGGGGGCTAGAACGAACTCCCACCCCTCTCCACCCAGGACGTCTGAATACTTCGAAGACAAGATTGGAATAACAACGAGAAGTCTTAGATTTGCCTTTCGGCGTACCTCCCCCTCCTCGGCTTCGGTTGATCACTCGGCCCCCTCGTGCCTCTTCCCTCTTCTCGGGTGCCTCAGCCACCATCGGCCCTTTTGCGGTGCTCGCATGCAGGAGTCCTGCCGTCGATGGTGCCAGATTTACAACGAGTCTTATCCCGAGTTCTTGGAGATTGCAAGTAGGTTCGGCGATGCACTTGGCGTGGGCGCTGCGTCGGCGTCAGGCCCGGCCGAGATCTACGGCAGGATGGCGAAGCTCCGCAGTTGCAACGAGGTTGGGCCTCATCTCAAGTTGATGCGCTTCGTGAGCATCAGCGACTGCTGGGAGTGGCACAGGAAGGAGGTGTGGGGCCTTCGGGCCGTGCTCAAGTTCATGTCCGACGAGCACGGTAAAGGGGCGGCCTCTCTAGCATGATCCACGCGGGCACGAGTCTAGGGGAAACGGACGGAGACGTGCAACGGGAGGCTTCGAAGCAGACTGGCACAATCAAGAAGGCGTTCACATTCATAACAGATGATCTCTACAGTGCCCTTCCAATGTTTGGAGTGTCTACTGGCGCGCAGAGAAACCAGCACGGCCACTGTGCGTGCGGGATAAAAACCATCGCCCACGGACAGGACTACGACTTCAAGCTGCAGACTGGCCTTTGGGCGGCAGAGTTCAAGCAGACGGCCCGCACCTGCACGAACGACGCTGCGAAGATCCGCGGGATGGGCCTGCTCGCGGCCGACGACCCAGACGGCCAGCGCGGCAAAGAGGCATTCGAGTTCACGATGAGGGTGTTGAAGGAGAGGTACGACTCCATTGCGCCAGACGTGTCTTGCTATCCTGGAAAAGTCAGACTAGCACTTGGTCGGGACATGAGCGCTCAGAGTCGCATGAGGGTGAGGCGAGATGCTACCGATTACGATTGGAGGTTCATCCTGCTGGTGGAGAAGGCGGCCCTGCCCAGACCAGACGCGAGGCAGCTACTGGGCGACATATTCTGGTTGAGGTGGCCGATCAATCGACTGGCCTTTGGGCAGAACGAGCGGGAATTATCTGCTAAACTTGACATCGCCGATGGTTTCATTCGCACCGCGAGTGCCGCCACGGAGCACTGGCCAGACTCCAAAGGGCCAGAGGACGTTCATCAGCACATCCGAGACGAGGGCAGGGCAAAGCGGAACACAACCATAGCTCCGAACAGACTGTACAGAGCACAGCAGGAGTGCAACATAGCTGGCTCACGCGGTATGACAACGTTTCAGCTCAGCGACGTGGAGGTGTCCCACAACATATGCCATCACGACTACCAGGAATCCACCGCCGACAACTTCAGAGGTGACCCGGCACTTATGCCAGCCGCACTTCGGCGAATACTTGATCGGGGCCACGAGTACAGCTCACCCAACGGACAGTCGTATGCGAAGGCGTGCTCAGCGTGGACGTGGCTTTCGGCATGGGCGAAACTTGGAGCCCTTCGGCCAAATCTTCTCAGCTCGCGGCATGGCAGGATGGTCTCA